AAGTTTATCAGCATGGGCAAAACACTAGCTCGGCATATACCCCATACTGTTAGACTCCCCAGAAAATCGTCAAATAGCTATTCAAACTGTACTCATATCGCAATATTTATCGCAGAAAAACTGTATATTGCAATATCAGACATTTGCAATATCATGCAGCCCTAGAGAGAGCTGTTATTTATATTTATGAAATGCTTTATTAGTATTGCTCATTATTAGTCCATGTTACATTGTAGAGTTCATCAAATTCCTTGGAATTTCATTTCATTTTCATTTAATTTTTTTTTACGTTAAGTAGTTGTGAACAATTTATTTGTGTTGAATTTAAACAAATTAAGTTGAACATTATTCAATTTAATTTGTTTGTTTAAATTCAACACAAATAAATTGTTTGCAACAGTTCTGCATGCAACACTTTTTTCAGTGATTAATAGCATTAACTAATAAAACCTTATTGCAAATTGTGACCTTTTTTAGGCATTTTAAAATCCTGCAATGAAATATGAGGAGCTGAGGAAGATGTTGGTTGCTTATTAATGCTTGCATGTGATGAATACATCAGTGTGAGTGTGTTCCATCATCGCTGCTTTACAGAGAGAGCTATTATTTGAGTAATTCTGCTGATTTACAGCAGTTTTAAGAACTCTGCTTGTTCTGAAGCTCTCTGCAATGAGACGTGGCACTTGACTGCGGAATGAAGCTGACGCCCATATTCAACTCAACTTTTACACATGGTGATATATATGAGAGAGAAACAAACGTATAACAACCTTCACAAAGTATTAAAAATGATCAACTAGCAATTTAAATTATGTCATGAATGACTCGGGTGTTAGCACGCCAAGCTTCATTTTAAACTCAAAACAGATGGGTAAATAAATAGCCTGTGCATAAATGCAAGAGTACATGAGAGGATACTGAATATGTTAATGCTTGTATGTACTGAGATTATTATTTTTTTTGCATGTATAAAGGTTGCACAATGAAAAAAAAATTATGATTCATTGTATTTACTACAATTTTTAAGGTATAATGGTTGCAAACAATTTATATGGGATGAATTTGAAACTAACATATTAAGTTATACATCACTAAATTTAATGTTTGTTTAAATTCAGCCCACATAAATTGTTCACAATCACTTACCTTAACATTTAGTAAATCCAATAAATTATTTTTTAAGCCTCATTTTGCCAAATATGTACATTTGATTCATGTTTATTTAGTGCGCTTGATATAAATCAGCAAATTAAAATTAAGCAACAGGTTTAGGATTAAATACAAATATCAAGACTGAATATTAAACTTGGTTGGATCTAATTTTTCTTTCACATTGTTACATTTAAATAAAGTGTTAAAGCTGTCACAAATATATGAAAATTCATATTTAATGTTACAGATATTAATTTTTAAACATTTTGGTGACACTTTAAAATAAGGTTGTATTAGTTCATATATTTACAATCATGAATAAACAATGAACAATATATTTACTACTGTATTTATCAGGGCTGAATGACATTGGAAAAAAACATTGAAATTGCAATATTTTTTATGCAATACTGCAAAAAATAAACATTATTTTACAGGTAATTGTATTTTTTATAGATTTTTTTTCATTTTCCAGTTTTTTCATTATACAGTGAAATACTTGTTGTTTTACAGATGTTTTCTGTAGCAAAAATTCTAACATTAAATTTAGTTATTGATTGTATTTTGGTATTATTTTTCTGCTTTTTAAAGGAAATTTTCTGTATTTTCAGAGAATAACATGTAATTTTTACGTGAATATTTACAGATTATTCCTGTAAAATAGGGAAACAAACACTCAGTAAAATTGTTTTAGTACTATTGAAGATAGTAATCATATTAATAACGTCAAATTGCCTATTGTTTGTTAGGCTGCATATAATGCATGCACTGTAAACTATAAACAGTTGAAGTCAGAATTATTAGTCCCCCCTTGATTTTTTTTTCTTTTTAAATGTTTCCCAAATAATGTTTAACAGAGCAAGAAAATGTTCACAGTATGTCTGATAATATTTATTCTTCTGGAGAATGTCTGATTTGCTTTATTTTAGCTAGAATAAAAGCAGTTTTTAAAAATCATTTTAAGGTCAGTATTATTAGCCCCTTTAAGCTATATTTTTTTCGATAGTCTACAGAACAAACCATCGTTATACAATAACTTGCCTAATTACCCTAACCTGCCTAGTTAAGCTAATCAACCTAGTTAAGCCTTTAAGCTGACTACTGTCTTTAAAAAATTGTCAAATATTAAAAAATCTGCTGAAAAAATCTGCTCTTCAGTAAACAGAAATTGGGGGAAAAATGAACAGCAGGGCTAATAATTGAGGGGGGCTAATAATTCTGACTTAAACTATATATATATATATATATATATATATATATATATATATATATATATATATATATATATATATATATATATATATATATATATATTGATATTAAATTAATTTTTTTATTATATTTTCCCCACAAAGGGTTGGTCTTAAACTCCACATAAATGTTTTATTTTATTATGAGTTTTGTTTTTGTAATGCATAGTGTAAAAGAAAACTTTGATTAATAAATGCTGTATTCTTCATTATATGTAAATACATTAACTAATGAAATCTTATTGTAAAGTTTTTTAGACACTGCAAAATCCTAATATTTAACTAATCTAAAAGTCTGGATGGTATCTGTCTGTCGTAGCTTTAGACCATTGTGTCTCTGTGTAATAATTATGCCGATATTCTCTCACCCCCATAAACATGTCTTTTGTTTGAGTTCATTAACTGTGGTCTTGCACCGTTGGTCCCCTGCTGTGAGCAAGCAGAATGAAATCAGGCCTCGGCCCTCAATCTACATACAGCTTCTGATAAAGCCTTCGATATCAGGCCCTTAACAGTTAGCACTTCTGAAATAAAGTAAACCACGTCTCTGTGCCATGTTCAATTCAGCTAATGAGTTGGTCAACGGTAGAGGCAAGATTTAAGCTTATAAGATAAATAAATATCAATAATGTCATGGATTATACACTGTAAATAATGCTGGTTTCCATACAAATCCTTCATGTTGTCCCAACACAATTTGGTTTAATTAACACCAATGTTTTTGCAAATTTAAGTTGGTTCAACATAAAACAATTAAGTTGTCCATGAAAAGGCTTAAGAAATGTGTCGATTCAGCTCGTTTTAAATAAGTAGTTTGAACAACCAGCTTAAAATACTTTGGGAAAGAGTTTCCTCAACTAAATTTGGTGGCACGTAACAATTCACACCATTCACTACGGGCTTTTACCAGCCTATTATTAAGATATTAAACGTTTATTAGCACTTACACTGTGTTATTTTATTTTACATGTCTAATCCTACCCAATACCCAAAGCCAAATCCAGCAACTACTGTAACAAATGCTGGATTACACAATTCCGTATGTTGTCCCAACACAAATCGATTAAGCTAACTTGTTTTTACAAATGTAAATGAACATATAGCAATTCAGTTGTCCCCAAAAACTCAAGAATTGTGCTGTTTAAGCTCACGGTAAATAAGCAGGCAGCAAAAATATAATTGTTTGAGTGTACCTTACTATTAACAAGCAGCTAGATACGGTTTATTAGGGTAAAAGTATAAGTTAATGGTTTGTTATTAGCGCAAATTGTACATTAAAATAACGTGTGACCCTAAATTCTAATATTTACTATTGAATTGATTTACAGGTTAATTTTTACTGTTCGAATTTACTAGAAAATCACAGCAGATTCTGACAAACATACATTTTCAGATCAAAATTGGATCACATTTAAAAAATACATCTGTTTTAAGTAGGTTTGTGAGTATTGCATTCATTTCTGCACCTATAGCTGGACTGCCTGAAGACAAACGGCCGAAGATAAACGAGAGCTGTTAATTTCGGAGTCTCGTTCTCTTATGTTTACAAGAGCTGATTACAACTTCAACAACTACACAACCGTTGTTGACAAATACTAGACACACAAAACGACACAGAGCCGCTTCATAACTGAGGAGAAAACACGCGGACACTCTGAGCCAATCTCCATTTTAAGCCATTGTTGACTGAATGATAGGATAATTACTTAAACACACACACCATTGAGTTGTGTTGATTTTGATACTCCAGGCGTAAACATTCACACATGAGATCCCACACTGCAATTACACACCGTTTACATTAGAGACGCCTATATGATAGATATTAATGCAGCTGTTGCTAGTTGCTAGCTTTGGAATTGCTCGCTAATTGCTAATTTGTTGCTATCAAACTAAGCTTCATCAATTAGGCCTGATAACTTGCCTATAAATGAAAATGTAGGTCACAAAAAGTTCACTCTAATTCGACATTGCATGATATAGTTGTTTAATGTTGCTCCAAAAATGGCAAACGCAAATTAAAGGTAATGAGTTGTTAACCTACTTTGAATACTATATGATAAAGCTAATGCTGTTTAGAATTTAATCACATGTATAGCCTATATATACAGTGCTCGGCAAATATAAGAAGTCAACAGCCCTCACAAATCTCTCATTTAAATTCATATTTCTATAGGAAGGATTTGTGCATACATTAGATTAGTCAAAGAAGCCAAATCTCGAGCTAATCTAACAAAATAGTTTACAAAAACAGTCCAAAAATTAGTAGGTCAAATTTATATGTTAGGGGAAAATATTTAAACGTATTATCTTTATATTTGTAAAGATGTTCGGTGGCTAAAATTATATTTTAATAAATATATCTGTTTAATAAACCTGTTTTGCACCAAAATACCTATATTTATTGAGAAATATTCATTTTGAAAATGGGGTGTACGCAAAATTGCTGAGCACTATATATTTATATATATATAAATATATATATATATATATATATATATATATATATATATATATATATATATATATATATATATATATATTTGAACACCAATGAAGTGTGATTCCAAAACAATTTTACAATATAATCCACATTACCTTGAGAATGTTGGGGTGCTGCAGTCTCTCCATCAGCGTCATTTCCTTGATAATTTTGAAGGATGCGAGTTTGTAACAGTCTGCAGACGATGCGTATTTCTTCACACAATTCTCCATGTCGTGACCTCCAAAATCGACTGATTTTAACGCGACGGAGAAGCTGCTGTTCAAAGCTGCCCTGTAAACCGCCTTTGTGTATCCAGAGCCCAAATACTGGACATTGGTAACGTTATCGATACTGCCGCAGCCGAGCCCCGACTCGCGCGTAATCTCCCGGTGCGATTTTGTTGCTATGGATACTGCGGGAGTCGATCGCGATGGATCGTAATGATTAATTTTCTCAATTCCTTTGTATAATTCCCACTCGCTACGTTGCTCCAGGTCCATTAGTCGCCGGCGTTCCAGAGGTCCGGTGCCGAGCCAGTGCGCCTGTCGGTACCGCAAAACCTCGTCCAGCCGCTCGCGTATTTGCCGCTGGAGCTCAGAGAGTCGCCCAACAGTGGCCGGTTCTACCGGCGGCGAGTCGTCGATCTGAAGCCGGGCAGGAGCGTCCGTATGTTTCTCGTGGTGGTGGTGGTGGCGGTGCACCCGCTCGCTGTGGTGCTCGAATCCCGGAATGAACAATAAATTCATCAGCGTGCCCAAGATGAACGAGACGCAGAAGCCCGCCGCTACCACCATCTTTCTCCGCTTCATTTTATTACTTATGATTATTAGCAGAAAATAGATGTGTTCCCCCTTCCAGCCTTCGCCTACCCGCCTGGCAGCTGCAGGCAGTCTGGCCGTGCCGGAGTGTAGTATTGTGCGGCGTGAAGGCTTCAGGATCCCGAGGAATTAAGTCTATGATGCTGCCCTCTCTATGATGATGCTGTTTTCATCTTGCAGTTATGATTTAAGATCCACCCCATATAAGGCTGATCATGGTGACAGTTGCGCGTGTGCGCTCGGTTGGCGGGGGTCTCGAGCGCGCGCCGCAGCAGCACCGAGCCCGAGCGCGTCTCTCGATCGGTCTGACGTCACCTTGACTGGCAATCGACTCGGCCCTCTGCTTCTGTGGAAAAGCTGCACTTCTGACTTAAAGGAATAGTGCACTCCCAAATTAATCTGGTTTACTCACCCGCATGCTGCCTTGGACCCGCATTAGCGCGTTCTTCTGCGGAATGCAAGGAATGTCTTTTTCACAAAGCGACTGTACGAATATTGATATCAAGCTTCAGAAAGGAATGCAAACATCATGTGTTAGGCAGTTTGAATGCATGTAAATGGATTTATGCAAGGAGTTGCCAAACATTTAGAACGCAAAGTGAAACATTTGCAATACCATCCGACATTAGAAAACTACATAAAAAAGTGACCAGCACATTCTTCAAAATTTCTCCTTTTGTTCTGCTAAAGTTTCCAGGCTAATTTGGTAGATAATTACAAAAGTGCCACATTATAGGGTAAATCGTTTCTTCTTGACTGTGTGTAATTTACAAATAAGTATGAATTAGCAAAATTACAATAAATTAGCAACATTTTAGTGGGGGGCTTTTGTAAATTGCAGTACTAATGTATCATCATTTTGACTCAAATATAAAAAAAGACTACACATGCTAACAACAACAACAACAAAACTTTTATATATTAGCCTGTTTTAAACTCCCTTCTTAACATTTATTCATATTTGCTGTTATTTGACAAGCATCTTTTGTTTTCAAAACATGTCTAATAGACGTCTAAACATATCGTCTGTGCTAAACCAAGACTAAATTTGGGCTGTCAGTGAAAATCTAATAGACATCTAAAAATAGGCCTAACTAGACTAGTCATCAAAAATACAGAAATGAATGACTACACATTTACAGTCTGTCTGATCTGTCTATTTGACGACTAGTTTTGGACTATTCCAAGACGTCTATTAGAGAAAATTATGTCTGCTAAATTGTTGCAAACAATTTATATGTGTTGAGTTTAAACAAACAAATTAAATTTTATAATTTTCAGCTTAATTTGTTTGTTTATATTTAGCCCAAATAAATTGTTTACAACCCCTTAACTTAAAGAAATTAAGTAAATCCAAGGAATCATCTTTGAATATTTTTTTTCAGTGAAGTTTAGCCTCGTTTTAGCCAAGCTGTTTACTTTTAGATGTCTATTAGACGTCTATTAAACATAAAAGTGTTTGCTGGGATAAATAAATAAATAAATAAATAAATAAATAAATAAATAAATAAATAAATAAATAGGCTACTTTACAACACAAATCTTTAATCTGACCTGGCTTCAAAAGAATATATTCTTATTTTGTTGGATATTTGTTCTGTTGATTATTTGTTAGTGTCTTAATTAAAGCCTCCAGCTTCCCACTAACCACAATTTTGTGCAGTGCAAGCTATATTTAAAGCCGTAGCTACTCAACATCTTGTACTTTCCCTTTATTTATTTATCTGAAGTAGGCCTGTACATGGCTGAACATCTACACGATACAGTTAGTTGCATGTCTGTGTGTTTACCGAATGTTTTAAGCAAGCATTTAATTGTGTTTTTGCACCGCATTAGACTCGGCTCAGTTTGCGAGTCCGTCTGACTTTCGGAAAGAAAAATGTGTATAATTATGTCTCTAGGGTCGGAGAAGTTAAAAAAAAAGTTTAAATGAAAAACAGATACGGGCGGGCTATTGGGCAGAGGGGGGAGAAATGATGGAAACATGGCATTTGTAAGCTTTGTTAAACTCGCGCGAGATAAGACGCAACTTACATTCCATGATATGAAGCTGTGTTGGTAGACTTTGATGAAATTTACGGCATAAATTATTCAACAATGTGATAAGTGGATTTAAAGTTCGAAACAAAGGTGATAAACCACAGTGGGTGATGCGTATAGTTAGTATTACGCATTTATTACGAAAACTAGTCGTCAAAAATGTTGGCCAGGAACAGCACACACAGGGCCGAATGCCAGGGACACACACGGCTATCCATCAAGCACGCATTATCATGCTGTTAGCAGCTAATTAACAAATACAATCAACCTGGAAACTGGAGCAGTAAGAGCCGATCAGCAGGAGCCTTGCTTCAGGGCCGCTTGCCATGCGTCCATTTTTATTTATAGCACTAATTAAGCTAACGTAATTAGGTGATGTTAGTCTAAAAGTAGTGAAAAAGTTCACTGGTGTGTGTTTGAGATGGGTCTCGGGTGATGAAGCAGCCTCAATATAAGTACTGTACCTCAATGTTATACACAAAATATAAGCACAATTATTTAACTATATTATAATTAGCTTACACTGTAGAAATAAAATAGAGCCGAATAAAATAAACCTTATGGGTCCATTAAACTTATATTATGTTAAACTGACTTAAAACTGATTGCCTAACTTATAAAATTAAGTTAGAACATGATTACTTTTAAGTTACAATGACCTTAAACATATGCTGTCAGGACTAATCGATCTTATATTTTTTTGCAGTGTACAAGTTAGTAATGTCGACAAGTTTCAACTCAAATATGGTGGTTATTGTAGGCCTACACAGGACAAACGCAACAGAAAGAGACATTTAGCTCCATCTTATGGATGTTAAAATAATTATAGCCAATTAGATACTACACTGTAAGACCCAAAAAGTTAGGGCAACTCAAACCGTTTGAGGAAACCAATTGCAGCAAACAATTTGAGTTAAAAAAAACAAATCTATATAAGTACTGTGAACTTACTCCATTTGGTTGAAGTAATGATGCATTTAATTAACTCATTTCCTTCAACACTGAGTTCATAACTCTTTTCAAATGAGTAGAATTAACTTTCAGTCAATTTTGAGTTACTCATTTGATAAAGTTGACTGTTGGGTTTTATAGTGTACAATAAAAAATAAAAGTAAAATAAGTTGTCCACCCTACACATATTTAAAATAGCTAAACATTTTATTTATGTTTATATTTAGGCAACATTTTAAAATAATGGTCCATTGGCTATATTTACTAACATTAAAAAGTATGACTAACCTTGGGTAAGCATTTATTAATCATAGTCAACAATAACTAATGCATAATTAACGTCAAACACTAATAATTACCGTAATAAATGTATTGCTTGTTCATGTAAATACACTGTACAAATAATAAGATCAATCATGACAACATTGTTAGTTCACTGTAAATTATTAAACTAAGTTAATCATGTTCTAACTAATTTTGTAAGTTACACGAGCTGTTTTAAGTCAGTTTACCATAATATAAGTTCAATGGACTCATAAGGTTAATTTGATTCAGCTTAAAAATATATGGATTTTTTTTTTACAATGTAGTAAATACAACTAACAATAACTAATAGAGCACTATTTTAAAGTGTTGCATGTTTTCTTTAACATCATTACCTTTCTTTAATACAGACAGCATTCAGGGAAAACCCATTTTTAGTGCATGTTAAAATTCAAGTCAACCCAATACACTTCTCTGGAATAGGTGTCGCCTGAAAGAATCCCGTTTAGACAATGTTAGTTTTGTTGATGAATGGCATGCATGACATTTGGAGTCAAGCAGAGAGAGAAACAATGTTATCGGCCTGCATGACAATGGTTCATTAATATCAGCAGAGGCGATCGCGTCATTATCACCCCCACTAAAACACCGTTTGCAAACAAGAAGCCCACATTTACATCTCTGCTCTTAAGCGCTTTTCAATTGAATATTGACTGAGGAAAAAGTTTATATAGACTGATTCGGTTTCAAATTTACTTAAGGTTATTCATTTACCTTTTCTGAAATGTAAATAAATGTAAGTCGTAAGAGCATGATATAATATAGCATATTAGGCCTATAATACGGCCTATATATATATATATATATATATATATATATATATATATATATATATATATATATATATATACACACACACACACACACCTATATATATTTTATACTATAAAGTAAAATTATTTTGAAGTTGTTCAACATTTGTACAAAATACCACCTGATATTGATAGACCACACTTATGAGTTATACCCACAGCAAACATAGACTATATTTCTGTCTAAAATTTTATCTTTTAAAAATTTTCGTCCCCCGCTCTCATACAGTTGAAGTCAGAATTATTCGCTTTCTTGTGAATTTTTATTTTATTCATTTTTTCAAATATTTCCCAAATGATGTTTAACAGAGCAAGACATTTTTCACATTATTTCCTATAACATTTTTTCTTCCGAAGAAAGTCTTATTTGTTTTAATTTTACTAGATATAAAGCAGTTTTAATAATTTTGTAAACCATTTTAGGGTCAATATTATTAGCCCCCTTAAGCAATAACACACTTGCCTAAGACCTAACCCTAACCCTAAGACTTGCCTAATTAACATAATTCAATGTCATCATAGCAGAGATAAAACAAATTAGTTATTAAAACAATTATGTTTACAAATGAGTTGTGGGGCTAAAAAACTTTCTGTTAAACAGAAATTGGAAAAAAAAATATGCAGGAGGGCTAATACTATTCTGATTTAAACTGTAGCCTAAAGCCCAATCCATCAAATGCACTATAGGCAGCAATGATTAATGATGATGTTTGACTGACACATGTCTGCAATCAACTCCACGTACTTCGCTAAAGGTGGCGCAAAATCGATGTTAAAGGAAACGTGAATGCGAGGGGTCGGAAAACTCCCTATAATAATCCCCTCCATCACGAAAACGTCGTCAAAGGGAAACAACCCGTCCCT